AGACCCCCCTTTGACATCAGAGTCCCCCTTTTATATCAGAGCCCCCACTTTCACATCAGAGTTCCCCCTTCACATCAGGAGCCCTCTACACATCAGGAGCCCCCTACACATCAGAAGCCTGCCTGCATGATGCAGTGTGAAAAGTTTGTGGCACCCCTGAGGAAGGCAGAAAGCACTCTGGTTGAGAAAGGTTGGGTTAGAGCAGGGAAAATGTGAAAGTCCCTTCCCCAGGTAGTGGTGGTAGCAGAGAGTATCTTCCTTTTAGATGTCTTCCTCAATAAGCACAATATACAGGAGCAAGGGAATTCTTAGAGGCTCAAAAACACATGCACGCACATTGAAACGCATTGACCTGTGTCTTTTTATTATCAACTATGTAAGTAAATTCCATAATAGTACACTTGTATCAGTGTATATGACACATGACATAACTGACCTCCTATTCTGCAATAAAGCCTATCATGTACCCAAGCCCTAAGGTTCTCCATGCACTTTAGAGAGTGGCCATTCATGCATGTAAGATCCTGCTGCATACAAAACTCTCTAAAATGCTGGGAATGGTTTTCTAGACCAGTGGTTCTCAACCTGTAAAACTTCAGGACCCACATTTGTCCTTGGTCATTAAGTCGCGACCCAAGTCGCACCACACTGGAACGCACGGCATTGCAGTACCCCATGTTTTCCGGTGCAAGCGATTAAACTGTGGGCGGGAGGTGTGTTCGGGGTGCCATTCAAATTAATTGCAACACAATGCACCTCTTGCATTTCCCGCACCAGAACGGACAGATTGCGTGGTAGTTTGCGACTAAAACACTGACAGACACACACAACCACAGACACAATCTCACACACACATACACATTCCCAAAAATATTTTTAGGGGTTCAGTGTGGGCTGCTGTGCTGTAACAGAGCTCCATTCATACGTGCATATCTTGTACAGCTCCTGTGCACTCCCTGTAGAGGTGACCGGAGCCAGAATGTAATATCACTCCGGTCACAAGAGGGAGCTGTAAGCAATGCATGGCTGGAGCTCGTGGCCCACCCCACCTCAAGCTGAATGGCTGCTCGGCACGAGAACTGACAGTGCTGTGCTAGGGGTAGGCTGAGGAGCCTCCCACCTAGTGCAGTAGTGGAAGGCATGCGGCGACCCCCTGAACATGGGTATAGACTATAGAGGGAGACTTGTTGCACTCCTTACCGGATACCCCAACGACATGGATCATTTGAAGAGATGTCAACAGCACACCAAAACTGCTTTCAGGATAACCATGTGTTCATTTAATAAGAACCATCTCAAGTAAAAACAAGCACTTTCTGGGCCACGCAGTGTCCCTTCATCAGGCTTCTAAGAACCATGCCAAGTAAAAACAATCGCTTTCAGGGCCACGCAGGGTCTCTTCAAGAGGGGGACTTGTTGCACTCCTTACCGGATACCCCAACAACCGTGGAGGGTGCTGGTAGTGACTGCGGATGGCACCACTAGTTGCATGGATCATTTGAAGAGATGTCACCAGCACACCAAGAATGATTTCAGGTTAACCATGTGTTCATTTAATAAGAACCATGTCAAGTAAAAACAAGCGCTTTCGGGGCCACGCAGGGTCCCTTGTTAAGCCTGATGAAGGGACCCTGCGTGGCCCCAAAAGTGCTTGTTTTTACTTGAACACGTGGTAATCCTGAAAGGATTTTTGGGGTGCTGGTGACATCTCTTCAAATGATCCACTGAACATGGGGTCTCGACCCACTTTTGGGTCATGACCCACCAGTTGAGAACCAAGGTTCTAGACTGCCTTAGTAGTTTATAGCAATGGAGAGGAGGGAGGTGAGAAGGTAGGATCACAAGATCACAAGACCAGTGGTTCTGGTTTCTCAGAAGCATACTGGAAAGCTGGACCGCTGCTTTCACACAGAGCACAGCA